GAAGAGAGCTGGAAACTCAGTCGACAAAAAATATATTATGGAACTTTGGATGTACAGTTACACTCATTTATGTGTGATGCCATATGTTACTGTAGCGTGTGGCCGTGAGAATAACACACTTCCTTTTACTTTGTGTTTCTCCGTCAATAACTATGTACAGTGTGCCCTCTGCTGGGTGAAGATGGGTACTATTTTGTAGGTTTATCCATAGCCATAATATAGTGCTTTATAATCGTAGCTATTTAAACAAAAATTTTTATTACTTGAATTCTGGATAACCTTTCAGAAATTAGTTGGTTCTATCCCACACCAATCCCCTGGTCCTCTTTAAAAATTACTGATAAAGAATCTCATCTACCAAAGATTCAAAACACCATTAAAGATAAGCTCAGAAAAAATTAAAGGAAGTGTTTCCAAAAGAAAAGATAAGCTCAGAAAGTTTAGTATGATAAGTTGATAGGGACCCTTGTTACTTCTCAAAAAAGTACTGGTCACTTAATATAAACAGGGATTAATCTTTTGGATGTTTCCCACATCTCAGAAAATACATAAGAAGCCCTTCATTATAGTATTTAAGTTTGCAGATATCCAAATAACCACAATTATTGTCCCATTTCATTTCTTTTTTTAAAATTTTATTGATGTATAGTTGATTGACAATGTTGTGTTCATTGCTGCTGTACAGCAGTTATCCATATCTATACATTCTTTTTCATATTCTTTTCCATTATGGTTTATCACAGGATATTGAATATAGTTCCCTGTGCTCTAGAGTAGGACCTTGTTGTTTATCCATCCTATATATATATAACAGTTTGCATCTGCTAACCCTAAACTCCCACTCCATCTCTCCCCCACCCTGTCCCATTTTATCTCATCCTTGCATTTAACCAGTGTTCATTCCCAGGTAGTATGGTAGGCTGTGATGACACAGAACCAAATGAGGCCCGACCCTAATTCTCAGGAGCTGTACCATTGAATGGAAGATGGTTGTATATGTTCTTATA